TCGAAGAGGACTCGAGCGACAAGGAGGTTCGGTGAAGGAGAGGAAGAAGAATGTAAATACGCAGCAAACCAACAACATACTGCGGCCACTGCCTGTTTGTTTGGGTATTTACAACGAGAAGCTACAATCAGAGTTCCAGTCCACATGACAAGAGCCAATTTCAGGGCCACACTTTCTCTAAACAGCCAAACCGACACAACTAAATCCCCACATGTACTAAAACACTCACTCGTACACACAAAACCCAAAGTCACTTATTTGTCCATTACTTCAATATAAAAAAAGAAGGAAGAATGGGATGAGCTTTGAGGAAGTGATTTTTTAGCAGGAGGCCGACTTGGCTGAACCTTCCAGCCCTGTTTGGTTAGAGCAGATGTAGAATTAGTACACATCACTTTGTATCAGCGAGACGCTGAACACAAGCTGCTGCTCAGAGGCCAACTGCCTCTCTGTCACAACACCACAGACACGCACAGCTCACCTCCAGTGTCTGTGATTCAGCTGCGGTAATTGTCAATGTGTTGTTAATTCCCACGGCAACGGAGCCTCGTTTCTGTGCGTCTCAAAGCATTCTGGATGTCTGGACAAAAGACCGGCCTCTGTTGCTATGGACGCAAACTACAAACACAATTATTGGAAGAGTTGGTATCCTGTCTAAAAACAAATCTATGACTTTAGGCATGTGTACCTGTCTTTACCAGACTTTTTTTATTTTAAAAAAGTACACTGAAAAGTTTGAGACCAAAGTTTACTGCAGCATCACTAACTACACTTAGAACATTGTCCAGCTTTGCAAGTAGAATATTTTACCCATAATGCACTCCGCTAGAGCTAGATTCAAATTTTTGATATTACATTGTTTTCTGCTTAAAGTAAATATACTTTCATATTTACATATATTCACATTTCTACCTCAATGTGTTACTTTTTTGTCCAGGTAAATAGTTTACTTTTTATTCTGTACTAGGTAAATTTGTTCTACTAACTTATAAAAAAGGAATTTAATTTTAATGGTGTATTATATTATATTAAATTCACTCTGTGTATTCTGTTCTCTAACTCAGATGATTCAGAGGATTATGATTTGAGATTGCATTAAATCAGTTCTACTCCATGTACAGTATGGTAAAAACCAGTTCCCGCCTCATGCTTTATGTTAGGTCCAAACGAGTAAAAAACTGCTCCAAATATGCTGTCATTTCACCAGGGAACGTCTCTTTCTCTTTGTATTTCTGAGCAGGGAGTTCCTGTTGCTTGTCAACGCACTGAGCTAAGCACGAATGACAAGTGATGGTGTATGGGCAGAGGGAAATACGGAGAAGTTAACCCCCACGGTCAGAGAGAGACGTGTGTAATCTGCAGAAGATGCATGCAACAGGCCGCCTCACTACTTTATCTGCAAGGCCCCTAATTGAGAGGGAGATGCTGGAGAACACATGTGAGGAAGAGAGGAAAAAGGAAAGGAGAGTCAGATGTCAGCAGACATGTGCAGGCATGGGGTTCCTGCAAAATAGGTTACATTAAGTGAAATGACACCAAACATCAGGTTGGCTGCGAGGGTGTGTCGAGATGCTCACAACTCCAGCAGCCATCAGGCATGAGGTCAACTAAAGATCAGACAGTTCATCTGCTGTAACGCTGTCAGCATGTGGTAGTCCAGGGACCAGGTCACAAATAAAGCATTAAAATCATCAAAGACTATTGAAGAACTTCTACAAAATGTTTGTAATCGATTTTGTCTCGAATGAAAGAACACAGTTGAAAACTTAAACATAAATAATAATTTATATAAATAAATAATGTCCGACCCTTAACAGAAGTTCAATGTCGTCACAAAATGAGTCAACGTTAACCTCATATTAGAGTTGTCATCTAATAGTGTGTCCTTAAATATTGTCAAGTACCATAATAAAGTCAGAATATGATCTGTATATTAACAGCTACAGATTCTCAGCTAGCGAAGCTCAAGTCCTGCAAGTCAGACTGCATGTTCTACGGACCTTAACCGTAACAGACACAAACACTGAGCGACCTGAGTTTATTCGTTACACAAATTTGGGAGAATCAAAATCACTAAAGAAAACTGAGGATTTTTTTTTGCAGCATCGAAGTTTAAAATATTGTCCATATACTGTGTAGTGAGGATCTGGACTGCAGGCAGGCCAGTCAAACACATCGTCCTGGTTTTTGCACCAAACCGACAGAGAGTCCAGTGAGTCTAATAAAGCTCTTACTAAAAAGCCTAACTTTGTCAGTGAACCAAATTGTGTAAATTAATAAAACTGAACTCAATAGTATATCTCCAATAAACTTCCTTATTGCTATTTTGGACAGTAAGAAATGGCAATCCACCGTGTCAACAAAGTTGACCCTCAGAGGAAAAGAAAATGTAGTGATTTCTTCAACCCAGGCCATTATGAGCCAATAAAAGAAAACTGCTTCAGCTCAATGGTAAAGAGGTTTTAACAGAGCAAGGAAATGATGAGAGGCAACAATGTTGAGACCTTAAAGGAAACACTTCAGAAATCTAAAACTCTCAAGACTTCATCAGGGTCACCTCGTATAAAAAGCAACAAAACCTCATTTCAATTCACATCCTCAGACACGTTGTAATAAATCCATCCAACCCTCAAGATCACATGCCTCACATATTGCTCACTTTTTTCTTTTTTTAAAGTGGTCATTTTTATGCACCAACACCGGTCAACCAACCACACACGAGATGTGATGACCTTGTTGACCTTGCTTGTAAATAGGTGTTGGACAAAAAAGTTCTAAGACAAAGTAAAGAAAGTTTATTCTGTGCTTTTTTTGTTAATAGTTTCATTCAGTTTAAAAATATATATATACAAACACTTCCTAAAAATGTTTGCAAAACTCAATGATTTTTTCCAGGATTTTAATGTTAATATTTAGTAAAAAGAGCGACAGACCGCTGGGTTCACGTCGCAGTATCATTCACATACAGTAACATTAGCTTGTGCTGTTCTTATGTGAACACACATCACAGCACTCGCTCGCTCGCTCACACGCCGACGATCAAATTTGCATGCGGCAGCATTGAGTGCGGAGCAGATTGCAGGGGCAGCAAATGGGCTGAATAATATGATCTCTCAATCAATTATGGTGAAAACCGTGTTACATTAGTTTTGCTGCTGACTTTGATTTGTCAGCCCCCCCCCCCACCTCCCCCATGGGGGGTTCAGTCACGTACTGTTACGTCGAGGGATCTCCTCATAACAAGTGCACGCTGAGTGAATGGAAATGACAATAATGGTGTCAGGGACCATGCAAATCACCTGCAAAGGAAACACTGTAAATCACCGTGTGAGATGAACACGGAGCAGCAACACAAAGGTGGCGCCGTATTCAAATGGGAGCGTCATTATAGTACAAGTCATAAACCTGTGACCTGTGTGTTATATTTACTAGATGAGGAGGTGACGGAGGATGAACGTCGGCATTGTTCTATGTAATTGTCAGTCAATAAAAATGGTCGTTGAAAAGACCTTTTTTATCTATACATTCACATTTATATACAATCATATATGTATATATATTTTTGTATATAACCTATAGGTTATCAGATAAATATTTAAAATTTAATTATTAAAATTAAAATACAAAAGTACACTCATTAACATCTTACTTTTTTATATTACAAAAGGGTCTAAAACTATATTTTTATTTTATAAAATTAGCCCAAATCTGCCATCTTCTGTGCTCATACATTGAGTGACACAAGGACTGGCTTCAAATAACAGAATAAAACCAGGGGTTGACCTCTCCAACTTTTTGCCTGCCCCGAAAACTGATGTCTGGGATTTTTTTTTTCCACCACAATCAAATGACTCTAAACTCCACTGAGTGCAGCACGGGTCAGGCAGCTCCATTGATGCCGGGGCGTCTGGTTAGTGTAGAAAGTTTAACAGGAGATCTCAGACGTCTGATTTCACTCAGCCTGACCACTCGCTACCCGCTGTTTTTCTGAGCAGCTTGCACTAATGTTAGATACCCGCACATGCACACAAATGCAATCAACACTCATCTCCAAAATGTAGCGTATAATAATGACTACTAAAAAAACAAACACCGTGTTAAGCTCTTAAACTGTCACTACAACCGAACTGCATCCTTTTAATTTTATTATCAAGGTAAATTTACGCAGTTCTAATTCTGCAAAGACAAAAAGCAACATCAATTTAATCAATACACAATTGTCTTTCTCTCACAGCACTTTTAGTTTCAGCATGTTTCTCCTAACCATGTGCAACTGACGAAACGTTGCCCTGAGAAAGTTGGTGATCCAAACCCAAACAACACACGGCCATGCATTTACAGGCACGGACACACACACACACACACCCACACACACTTATGCCACTAAAATGAACAGTGAAGAGCCGCCGACGCATTGGAGACGCTGAGCGGCACAGGGAAAATTAAAATCCTTCAGAGTGAGAACTGAAGTGATTCAGTAATTCAAAAGCAAGGCTACAGGTGCTGCCCTCTTCTAGAGAGAATGGTACACAAGCCACAAAATATTTCACTTATTCTTATAAATTCAGATTTGATATTTCATTCAAACAAAAAAAAAAGTCACACAATGAACGGCCTTCCTTGTTCTTTTTATGTTTTTTTTTTATGCTACTGTGGAATGGTTGTGCTTTTTGACAAGCAAGGCCAAAGGAGAAATTAAATTAGCGAGCAATATGGTTGTCTATTATTTCTATCAAAGATGACGGAGTGTACCAAGAACATTTGGTGGAAGACTGATATTCCCACAACCTGTGATTAATACTTTTCTGAATCCCATTAGTGAAGCTGCAGGTGGGGCAGGGGCAATTACCTGATGTTGGTGAAAACATCTTTAATTGAGATCCCACTTAGGGTAAAAGTGTGTGTTTCTTTTTGAGTGTTAATGAAGGGACTGGATGTGTTGGTAACCGGTGATCGTATTTTCTGCTGAGGGAGAGGAAGATGTCAGTCAGCCGACTCACCCGTGTTCCCCTCGTCTTCCTTCCCAGCGTCTAGTGCGTTGCTGCAGTTGTAGCTCTGGCTGGTCTCCTCTTCCTGACTCGGGCTGGTGCCAAGAGGAAAACTGACAGGACGAGAGCTGGTGACCGAGCTGGACGGACGTGAACTGGCACAATTCTGGAGAAAAAAAAAGTAAGTTGAAAAAAGTAGGAGAGGTTACGTCATCGCTGTGGCATTTGAGACCTGTCTGACATCATTCAGCTTCACTTGGATGCTGCAAAATATTTTAATAAAATATAAAAAAAAATCCAATTTGTCCCAGAGATTATCAAGTATGAAATGACTATCATTTGTTGTGAAACATCCTTTAAGGAGAAGGTATTTTATATTTTTTACCAAAGGAAGATCATTCATTTGTATTAATTCAGTTTGTTCATACTTTTATATTTAGTCCACAGCAAAGAATTACATTATTTCACTGTAATTCAAAAAAGTTGACTGTTATCTGATCTAATTCACTTTCTCAAACATCAGAACACACGATCCAAACTAAATCACAAAAAAAGAAAAAAAAAAAGATCTATCATCCTTGGTTCAGGCACAGACACTCAACATACAACAAAAGGTGAACCTCAATTTGTTTCTACTATAGAATAACACACTCAACGACTAATCAGGAAAAAAAACTTTTGTGGGTGCAAACAAATCAAAAACCAAGTGTGTTTCATGTGTGTGTTTGGCCGAGACTTCAGGTTCAACCTGCACCAACTTCCTATATCTTGTCAAAACTTGAATGAAGATCAGAAAAACTAATCCACTTCCAATTTATATCTATATTTCAGTGGTGTCAGGGGCATGCAGTATTAGTGGACGGGGGGCAGGGGGGGCTGTTTTTTATTTGAGTTCTGCAACTGACAGCTTTATTTCATAAAGCAATCTGGCTGTGTGTGTACAAGAAAGAGGTCAGGGTGGGTCAGCGGCACTTGGTATCAAACAGACAAGCAACACTGGTCAAAGTGCGCGTCAGTGTGTGTGTGTTCGTGTATAAAACCCCGCCCCCTGGGAATAAAAAGGCAGTGTGTGTGACCCACGCCCATGTAGAGGTGCTACAACAAGGAATAGGGCTAAAAAGGTCAGCACAAGTGTGGAATTAAAGAGGGAGAGTGCGTGATTAGGTTTGCTGGAATTTATGGGAGGTCACCGGGGTCAGAGGTGCATCGCACAGCAATATTTACTCAAATGGCTTCTGCAGCATCACAACAAGCTGCACCTCTAGATGTGTTCAGTCCTGTATGATGTTCAATGATAGTGTAAAAAAAAACCAACACACAACTGATTCTCAACCTGATGTTTCAGGTTAATGCAAGTTGATGTTGACCTCAGAGATGTGATGACAGACCATGTGAGTAACACGAGGATTTGGTTAGTGATAGTGTTTTAAAACCAAAAAGCGATTCCAAAATCACAGTATATTTTCCTTAACTTTTTTCTAAATTTTTTCTAGAACAGAACACAGCTCCAAAATGTTGCTAATACCACAGGACATAAAGCCCTCTGTCTCTGACAAGTTCCATTTGTCTTCAAATGACCCCATATGCAGTAACATCACCACAGCCTCCATATCCCTCGCCTAGAAAGGCACAATACCCGATCCCATGTTTTACAACATGGGGATATATGTAGGGGCATGTGCGGTCATCTAGAGCCAAATGTCTCCCATCTAACCATCGGACAGGTAGATACAGTATTTCAAGCAGGATTTATGGCACAAAACAGCATTAGCTAAAAACCGCCGGGGCGACAGTGATGGCCAAAAGACGCATTCTGGTAGCGGAACCCGGCAAGATTGGAAAATTGCCACCACGAGTCGGGATAGGAAGCAGTAAAAATGACGGTAAAAGGTGGGGGCCCTGGCTGATAACACGAGAGGGACAATATATCAGACCCCACCTGCTGGCGAGGGGACCCAGGGGGCCCCTTTTACCTAAAACAGTACGGAGAGCCATGCAGAGAGACAAGAAGACCCCCCCCACCCCCACCCCAACGCTCTGATCAAACAGACTGACATTTAACCATTTATTTTATTCTCTGAAATTAATCCTGCTTCCATCTAAAAAGAAAGGGAGATAAACTGTGGTATTTGTTTTCCAAAGGCCTGAGGGGACAAATATAAGGGGCGGGGTTTGAGGAGCACATACGGTACATGTAGGTTACAGCGCAATAGGAGGTTTTGTGTGTGTGTGTGTGTGCAGGCCATAAACAGTCTGGACAGAAGAGAAGAGTTAATGTGAGAACTGATAAATGACACGATGTGTGTGTGTGTGTGTGTGTGTGATGGCAGGAAGGGGAAGAAGTGTACTGACATTTTAAGGCATCAGTGTCTGTGCATGTGTGTGTATTAAATACTTTTCAAGTTGGCAAAGGCAGTGATCTGTCTTCAATAACTGCATGCACACACATACACACACACACACAAGAGCATCCTACCATTTCAGCCAAACAGCAGCTTCCAACCAGGTATAAATACTGTCCTGACACTTTAATGTCAGGGGACGGCTTGTCCTGGATTAGAAACTTGTAACCCACCATGGAGCTTGACATTGCTGCGATGAAGGGGCTGCAATGTTCAGAGGGAGGACAGGGAGGGGGTCAGCGGGGGGGAGGCCATTATGAAGGGTCTACATTTGATGTATAAGTCAGCGCAACATGGAGTGTCGAGCGGCGAGCGGCTCACAGATGTACTACGTCTCTGTGTGGCCGGTTTTTTGATTGGCTTTGCTGGAGCACTGATATTTTTTTTTTGCCCCCATGAGGAGCAAGAGCTGTGAGGGAAAATGAAGTCTGTGGCAACAATGTGTGTAACAGGTGCACACCACCAAACCCACAATCACACACAAACACACACACAGATCGTTGACAGGAAAACGGAGGTCTACGTACTGAGAAATTAAGCGCTTTTCTCCTCTCCTTGATCCTGTTGACCGTGCTGCGAACCTGAAAGAAAAGAGAAATGTGTTTGAAGCCGTTTCAATTAAACCAAATGAATCGAGGTTAAAAAAGAAAATGTAAATTTGCTACAACAAAAAGCATTTAAGCACTCAACAAGGAAACAAGAGACAATAAGAAAGAAAAAAAAAACAAAAGAAAAACACTTTCAGCAGAATGACAAGACGAGAGCGGCTGAAGAAACGTGTGTGTGTGTGTGTGTGTTTGGGGGGGCAGGGGGTGCAGGTTGTTCCAGTACTTCCCAGTAGCTAATGGGACTTGAAAGTGACACATAGAGCCGACAAACTAAGGAGACGACTTCAAGCCATCATCTGTCAACACGGAGCACCTGGACCAACAAATGGAGCTATTGGAGGAGAAGGGAGCGTCCTAGCAGAACAGATTACATTTTTACACACTGGATGAAACACTGTGCTGCACACGTTCATTTAACACAGTCTGGGATTTTACAGCTGGAACAGATTTAAAGGATGCACACGTAAAAATTTTGTTTATGGTGATGTATCAAAGACCTCAACCTGAAATATAATTTAGATGGTAATATCACCTTTATATTTCACAAGAATGTATCTATATGAAATAAAAAATTTTTTTTACAAATTAAATTAGTATTGATTTATGGTATTTTTATAAATGTATTTTAAACGTGACAAATGCGTAAATGCAATTTATTGCCACAAAAGAAACATGTAACAGTAAGTTGAATAAAAAAATGTACTGAACTGAACCTTATTTAAAATATATTTATATATGTATATGCATACATATTATTATTATTATTATACATTATTAGCCACTTCAATGTGTACCAAAAATACAGGAATTATACAGTATTTTATTAGCCTTCCATAAAAAGTAACATTTGTGTTTGTGTGTGTGTTGGTGTGTGTGTGTTCACACAGTTTTGTCAGCGCTCACTGTAAATTTGTAGCAGCTGTGAGCTCATCATCATGGCCGCCCATGGCCCAGCCCACGACGTTAGTGAATATGCATTATGGCTTATGGCTTCATTAAGTCGCTGCGTGTTATAAATTATGACACAACACTTAACACACACATGCGTATAAGGAGTCCCCCAGGCAGTGTGTGTGTGTGTGTGTATGGAGGGTGTTTTGCATACGTGCCACTGTTGAAAGGCCACATAATGAAGAGACGCGTCGCCCGGTGACAGCGGCGGTTCGACAGCATTAGAATGGTGAACATAAAGAAAAGAGAGAGAGAGAGAGAGAGAGAGATAACTCCCATTATCTCTACCAGACTCAGCCTGAAGGCCTTCACCGTGATGATGCAGACGTTAGCGAGCCGCCGTCTTAACATTAGCTAATGGGGGAAAGTTAAAGTCCTGGGGATTTTATTGATATCAAAAGCAGCCGGCATGCTGAGGCAATTACATGACACAACTTAATTAATCATTTGACAATGAGGGGAAGGGCATTGTTTTAGACGATCGTTATGTGTTTAACAGGTTTCGCGTGCACTCAAGGTTTCCTCGTGGCGCAACGTGCGGTTCTCAATGTAAATGGGCGGCGGGTGATTAGCACATGAAAGCGGGAGGCCCGTCAACACCTGCCGACATCCTTGGAGCTGATGGAAATAAAAGGTCATCAAAGTGTGGAATTACAAGGTGACCAGCCACGGAAAGCTAATTGGGATGAATAATGGAGCGGAATTGTTGGTAATTAGCAATTAAAACGATGTACTTTGAGAGGATTAGCGGCAAACGCACCACATTTATAATTACTGAGGCGGAAAAACCAAACTCGTGAACGGAGCACTTTCCCTCACTTTGAAGCACGGACTAATTCAACGTCCTTCTTTAGCACATCAAAGTGAAGGGTCTTCACATTAAGGCCTTAAGATCCATGTAGGTTAGGAAGTAAGAGCATTCTGAGTGGAAAAGTTCCTTCCATGTTCTTTTACACTTTACGCGAGAAATGTTTCATCAGAAAAGTAATAACGTTAGTAATAACGCTAACTATGCTTCTAACAATAATGGTGAACCAATGAAATGAATCCCTATGAAGCATAGGGATGATTGTAGTTGAAATTATTTCAAAAGAATTTTTACAGCGTTCTCAAGTCTAACTTTGTATACACAAAATGTCAAAAATACAACTGGAAATTATTGTAAAATGTTTGGACAAAGTAAAGGTAGTTTTACTTCTGAAGGGCCTGGTTATCAAAAGTGAGAATAAAAGAACCATCGCCCAAAAAAAACAAAACAATCTGTGAACAGTAAAAATACATATAATTTTTTTTCTAAAAGGTTAAAGAGCATTAGAAATATATTGACTGGGTTTGTGTAGTAAGTGTAGTAACTTTTACAAACACTAGTTGTAACAAATGTGTACATGTGCACAAAGAAAGAGTTTTTTTTTTGTTAAGGTTGTATAGAGAAAAACACGACCAGTTGTGACAAGACGTTGAAGTCCCAGGGTCGAGGGCAAAAGGTGTTTGCCAATACAAACTCTACTTAAAGAAGGAATGTTGATTCATTTTAGAGCAAAATAAAAAAAGTCATCCCTCTGTGACTACATATTGTCAATATATGGCCTGTGGATGAGGGAAGCTCTTTATGCTTGTAAATGCATTACAGTAGGAAATAATAAGTGAGACACTTCTCCTGGAGGAGGTCAAACTGAGGGGATGTTCACAGGAGGTTGAAGAAAAGTAACAATGGAAACAGAGACGACTGGTGGACCATTAAAATAACTGTATGCACTGTATGTTAACTCTTTAGAACGACAGTTAGTGTGTGTGGACAACGACCTTGAATTCTATTCAATACATAATCAATAGGTGAATAAGAGAAAAACCACCATCACTAAAATAGAAATATATGAATTTTATAATTCTTAAAATTCTTTTTTTTAGTGAGTTTTACATTACTTTACAATTGACACTGGATTATGGAGTAATTAGCATTATTTTTAATCATTTCAAAGGGTTGTTTTCATGTTTTAAAGGCAGTCTTTGGCATTATTATTATTATTATTATTATATTTAACTTGTAAATCAAAGTCTTTTTACAACATAGAAAACAACAGAGCAGGTAAACCAATGTTTATGAAACAGTTGAAAAAAAAAAACATTTAAATTTTGACCTATCAAAAAAAATCCATATTCAACCACGACTACAGTCTCATCCATTAAATTCCGTCTGTCTGTCTGTCAGGCAGCACTCAAACACCCCCTCCCCCCTCCCCCCCCGACCTCCCCTTCACAGCATTGTATCTAAATGGTAATAACGCAGCGTCTCAGTACGATGTCCCATCGCTCCTTTGTTGCATATTGTTTTTATTTTTATTTATATATATATATTTGTCCCACTGTGTTTAGTGCTGGGGCCCCTGTGAAGCCCGGGCTAGCTCCTTTGTCAGAATGCTAAATGGAGGGCCGTGAGTTTAAGAACTTAAAGAGGCAGTGAAATATTAGCCATTGTGGGTGAGGAATGAGTGGCTGAGAAGTGCGGCGTGTCAGTGTTTAATGGTCGGACTCGGATGCATATAAGTTAGTCCAAGCATGAAGGGCAGTGGGATGCTCTCTTGGAAACGATGTCCCCTATTTACCTCTCTTTCCCCGTCTCCCCTCCTCCTCCTCCTCCTCCCATCACCAAGTTCTCGCTCCCTCTTTCTTGCTTTCTCCCTCACACACACGCACACACAGACGCTCACACATCCACCTACACAGCTTTTAAGCAGGGAGCCCATCAGAAACTTGTCATTTCTCTCATTCACTCCGACAGCCTTGAGACACAATGCAGACTTACCTCTGTGTTGTACACCCCATATATCAGGAAGATGAAAAGGCCCTGCAAACAAAGAAAGAGAGAGAGAGAGCGAGAGACAGAGAAAGAGTGAAGGAGAGGGGGGGAGAGGAGGGGAGGAAACAGGGAGCAGGACAAAGTTGTTAGATGTTTTCTCTCTTATCCATTTTTCTGAACATAATTTTGAGAATTGTACTAGTTGTATTAGTTCCCGCTCCATCGTCGAAGTGCGGCGCGAGAACAGACTAAACAGTAAATATGAAGGAGAATTCAAATTTAACTGCTTCTTATTAGGATATATTTTCAATCATCCTCTTGTTGATTTTGTTTAGTAAACTCATGCTCTTTACTGTAGCCAACGTAAGAGGCTCGGACCCAAGGTTTGTTGTTCATTGTATTTGTTCAGACACTAAGGAAACACACGACATGTTGAAGAGTAATGAAAAAGATGCACAAACAGAAAAAAAACTTCACAGCTACAGAAAGATAATGTAATAAATTAATATGAACATGGATTAAAAACACACATTTATCTAGACTATAAAGAAAAGTGTGTGCTTGGTGAGATTTCCCAGAAAACCATTGGACCACAGTGGAAAAATGGAGGAAGAGCATAACGAGAGAAACGATAAAAGAAGATTTCACGGAGCAGCTAGTACCCAGGGCTCAAGAATGCCATGCCCTTGGACACATAAAGGCTGCAAAGAAAAACAGTTATTTGTCATTTCGGTCCTTTGTGCCATCTTTTGAATGTTCAAGCTGTGCATTTGCCTTCGGGCCATAATGTGATCCTGCCGCCTTCAATAGAAACGGCGAGATCGGCGCTGTTTGAACGTAGCCGGGACTAGACGTACACAGATGAAAATGAAAAGGCAGGTAAAACTCTTATAAATTTCAAGGCTGATAGATGCAGCGAAAGCTTTGATAAACCTGTAGTAGAGCAACGTAAGTCTACCTGTGAATAAAAAAAAAAAAAAAACAACATTGCATTTCTTCCTCCTCTATCGCCTGGACAATGTCTGCGTCGCCTGGTCTCCAATGAGGGGAAGGACACGGGAGACGAGGGCAGGCACGCCCTGGTCAAGGCATCAATCAAGTTCAGTTTGGAGCATCCAATTTTTGCCAGGGAGAGATCTCGATGCATCACCATTGACAACATGATTTGGAGGCCCATTCAAAGTGACAGGCCGACAGTGGCCGACGGTGGCGACCTCTATCCCGAGCTACTGGCCGCTCACCTCCCACTGACTGCTCTGCCGTCCTCCAGGGACTCAATTTCCCCGTCTGCCGGGGTGTCAGCTGACACGTCAGGACATCCATTCTCTTTAAACTGACAATATGGCCGGACACTGACGACAGGATTTGACTGTGTATTATGTGAATTCAATGTGAAAAACTCAACTGGTGAGGGCAACATTTATTTACCGTAAAGACGGTGGAGAGCTCTCTTTAGCTTCATATATGTGTGTTTGAACAATTCCTGTGAATCAACAGGTTTTATAAAATCAAGCGCAGCCAAAATGGACAACGACAAAGACTCTTTATTAGAATCTATCTGATTTTTTTTTTATTTTCTACCTGCAAAATATCCATTAAATGTATGCTTTTTAATTTTTTTATATGACTTTGGCAAATTTTGTAAATGCTCTGTCCTGACAACTGCCGCCTGCAGCTGCAGTTTTTACCTTAATTTTAATAATTTGTTATCTTTGATTAATTTTATTTATTAATCTCTGCTGCAACATTTGTGCTGTTAAAGGGTAAAGAAAAAAATGTTGCAGTCTCACAAAATTACATTTAATTATTTTGAATGACTCATATTTACAGACGGGACAAGTGTAGTATCAGAAGTTAATGTTGTCAGGTGGAGTGAAGTTACAGCATTTTACTTGTTTTAATGAAAACTTCTGGCTAAAAGAGAAGGTCACCGTAGATGTATGATGTCAGAAACACTAGAGAAGAAGTAAGACTGTATTTCCTGCAGTATATTATTGTACATGAATGGAATTATGGTCTGTTTGTTACACACACTACAACAGAGTATCTGGTGGTTAATTTGCAGTACATACCCCATTGTATTACATTAGAATTGCAATTTCCAATTTACTGTTGCAATTTGATTAACATGTGTTTGATCATGCCTCTTATTTGCAATTATCTTTTGTTGTGTAGCCAACAAAGTGGGAAGAACACACAGTGTGCGTTAGGAAAAATGATCCATTAAAATGTAATTGAGTTAAAAATAAGTGTCAGAACAACAGCAATGACGGACTGTTTAAAATGTTAATTCCTCAATAATAATCCCACAAAAACAAACACACGGGGAAAAAGAAAAATGGGCCACGTTATTCAAATGCAAGGTTTGCTTTTCCAAACCCAAGCACTGATTCTTTTGAACTCAACAGCAAGTGCTGCAAATATATGCAAGGAACCAAAGACAAAAAGAATGGCTGCACGGCACATCAAACAATGGAACAAGGGTTCATTAGCATTCGGCTAATTAGGAAACAGTTGTATGTTTAAAAAGTTTGACCGAAAACATGATTACTCCTGAGAGAGCGTTGATGAAACACAGGACAATAAATAGAATTTGTTTTAATCAACACGGTTGTTCTGACTCCAAGAGAGTGTTGCATTTAAGTGCACGCTGTTTTACCGACAACTCCCTGTGATGTCAACACTATTTACATCAGTGTTTCACTCAAACTTTTATATACTGTACTGTGGGCCACCTCCAAAAATAAGTCACATATACTGTACTGTGGGCCACCTCCAAAATTAAGTCACAACAGCACAGACCTGCACCGACCGGCAGAGAACAGTTTACGAAGATGATCTTTTAATTTTTTTAATAGGATTCTAAGTTGATTTATTGTAGAAGTAGCACTGATAGCAAATGATATTAAGTTAAGTTTAAAACCACACAGAGCAAGTGAGAATTTCTAACTGCT